CTGATTCTGATAGATAGAAAAGGCCAGAGTCATCACATGCTGTTGCTGGTTCCAAGTCAGTCTCCTGCCAACTGGCTGGTGAGATACCACTACACAAGGTATAGAACAGTTGCTTTGACTCTACAAAGCATAAGGAAAGCAGAAATCATGAGGTCTTGTGTTTTCCTACAAAAGCAAAGCTAATAAGAAACCTTTATTAAATAGCTGCTATAGCAGAGTAAGGATGCTACTGAGCTTTCAGTGATTCCACATGTTTCAAAGATCCAGAGCACATTTCCTGCCTGGAGGACATGCACAGTTACCCAGGTGCTCAGAAGATAGAATGACTACCAAAGGTTCTTTGAATGATGTGGCTCTCTCACTTTATAAACGTTTCCTCCTTATCACTAGCTGCATATGGCCATACCATATGGACAACCAAACAACTTCCAGTTAGCTGTGAACATAATGACTTACGTCATTATGTTGAAGAATGTACTAGGTCGAATAAAAAGTAAAAAAAAAAAAAATGTTGCTGGTATCAATTACAAGATTGCCTACAAAGTAATCCAGAATGAAAGATGTAAAATTGTAAAGCTTCCACAATAATTTATAAACACTCAACTTTTCCAAAGGCTGTACATAAAGGCCAAAGGGACAGGGTATCCCTATACTCCAGCAAACAAGAATTTAATACGGAAAGGCCAAAGCAGTTTAAATTAGCTAGCTTGCAATCAAGTAGCAGTTCAATTGGACATGCTACATACTAATTTACTCTGAATTTCAGCAAAATCCAAATAATATAGATACAAAGATGAATCTAATGTGGGAAGAAAATGTCAAAGGCCATATCCGCCAATACAATTCTACAGAGAGACAAATAATATTTAGCACTTAATAGCCAAGATTAAAAATAATCAATCTAAAAAACTGAAAACTATAGTAGATTTATATATATGTGTATGTTTATATATATACATAGATAAAAAATTTATCTATCTATCTGTAAAATGATATCCCTATTTTCATTGAAGATATTCTGGTTCTATGCAGCTGCAAGACGCTGAATCCGAAAGCACTGGTGTTGTACAGCTGAATAAAAGAAATTTCAAATTTTTTATGTTACTAGATCTTTCTCTTGTAAGTTTTCAGCAGTTTCATGCAGCTTAAGTAAAAATGTTATATTTATACAAACATGGATCACCCTCCTCCTCAGCTAATTGAATACTACTATGTTTTTCTATTTGCTTAAGGGGGAGAAAAAAAAAATTAAATCCCATGTTTTTCTTAACACAGAACATGAACATCAATACAATACCTGCTTCTGTAGCCTGAAATAACATTGTACTTAACAGGAAATGATGCAGCATAACGCAGGTATTGCATACTTCATAGGGAAAATGACCCACGTGACAAGACCAAAATGGAACATCCTAGTAAAGCTGTGGAATTGTTTTCACTCGGCCACCAGCATTAATAAACACTTCAAAGAATACTTAGGGAATTTATTTCAGCTACCTCTTTTTGTTACCGTTTGTAACTCTTCTATTTTGGTATGAGTTTAGCTGGCAGCTGCTATAGGATTTCTTAAGACAATGAGTTATGAGGGCTTAAAAGTTAGAATATTTTCTTAGCTACTGGTTCAGATCTCAAAGTGAACTTAAAATTTGGACTGTTTCATTTTGGTTTTATAATAAAGAATTAAAAAAATAAGATTTTGTAACTTATAAAATTAAAAATGCAGCTTTCAAGCCACATCATATACATGGTGGAATACAATCTGATATTCTTTGTGAAAGAATAAGTAGAGGGGGGACAAGGCTTAATAAAAGCGTTAGGTAAAACTATTACTAAAACCAGTTTCTATAAAGTCAGACAATAATTATTCCATAATGCACTTAGTATAAAGATAAATCATATCAAGAGAAAAAAAAATATCCTCTTCCTTCCAGGGGAACGTTGGGAAATTCAAGAGAAATATAAGCATAAAGCATTGAGCACACACTAAATAATCAGAGTTTATTGATTTATTATATTTTACTAATCTAGTATGGGATTGTAACAATATAGAGATACTTTCTTTTATATGCACAAACAGCTCAAATTTATACATCATTAACCACAGAGAGGATGCAGCCCATGGCTCTGAAACATATTTCATTATAATTGCAAAGTAATACAACATGCACATACTATTCTTTACTAATCAAAAAGTAAAAACGTGGCAGTAACAATGCCACACATTCTGAATCAACAGTGTCCAAAAAACAACTCTGACATTAGACATGCTGAACTTCATAAAAACAGAAAAACTCATATATTTTAAAAAGGCAGTGCTTAAATTTACGTCCGAAACTCTGTATTTCTTTGTCTGTTAGTGCCCAACTTAAAAGCTGCATAGTGTTTAACATCTTACAAGAGAGTCAAAGCAATCCTTGCTTGTGATGAGAAGAAAACTTTACAGAAGAGAGCACCTGACAGCAAGTAGTACCTGACACAAAGTCTTTCCACAAATTTTAACAGGATTTAGAATCAGCCACCACCAGAACAAGTGACTTCCCAAGCAACTTCAGTTATTCCTGACTTAAAAACAGATTTCATAATTTCGAAACTGATTGTTTACAGTGTGCTAATATTGGTAATGACTGCATTTTGGAGCCTGGGACATGCATCAATGGGCTTGCCTTGGGTTTACCCTATATTTTATTTATAATCCATCTATTTTCAGAGCAATGTACATGCAAGCTAAAGATATTTTACATCACTGTTCTACTCCTGGAAAGGAGGGAGGGAGGCAGGGAGGGAAGGAAGGAAGGAAAATCTTCCTTGCAGGCAAAGCAAATAAACAAACAACAACAAATAATTCTCTTTTCCTAACATTCACACTCTGGCCTAGTCAGAGACAGAAATTACACATA